CTGGCAGCCCCCAAGGAGGGCGAGGTCTCAGTCAAGCCCCTTAGACCTTAGAGCCCGCACTCCGCTGGACCTCCCAGGAGCTCACGAACGTGTCGGCAGCTGCGCAGTTGGCAGCCCCCAAAAAGGGTGAGGTCCCATTTGGGACCTTCTGAACCCACAACCCGCTAGACCCCCCAAGAGCCAACGACAGTGGCGTCAGTTTCGCAGTCGGCAGTCTCAGGGAGGGGGAGGCCTCGTTCGGGCTCGCACAGCCGCGCACTTCGGTGGACTCCCCGAAAGCTAACGAAAATGGCGACACTTGCGTTGATGACATCCCCCAGAGAAGGCGAGGTCTCATTCGGATCCGCGCAGGGCCCGCGCTCCACATCACCTCCCATGAGCTCACGAGGGCGGCGACAATCGCGCTGCTGGCAGCCTACATGGAGGCGAGGTAAGGGGCAGGGTAAATGGCAGGCAGGGGGCAGGAGACAGGCAGGAAGGAGGGGACTTGAAGAAGAGAAAGAAACAAAATACGAAACAGGGGCAGGAGGATGCAGCAGTGTGTGCGTGCGTGCGTGCGTGCGTGCGTGCGTGTGTGTGTGTGTTTATGTGTGTATGAATGTCTGTGTGTGCGTGTGTACGTGTGTCTGTGTGTCTGTGCGTCTGCGTGTGAGCGTGTGTGTGTGTGTGTGTTAGTGTGTGTGTGTGTGTGTTTGTGTGTGTGTGTGTGGGTGTGTCTGTGTGTGAGCGTGTGTGTGTGTGTGTGTGTGCGTTTGTGCGTTTGTGCAGTTGTGTGTGTGTGTGTGGTGTGTGATGTGTGGTGTGTGATGTGTGGTGTGTGGTGTGCGGTGTGCGGTGTGTGGTGTGTGGTGTGTGGTGTGTGGTGTGTGGTTTGTGGTGTGTCGTGTGTTGTGTGTTGTGTGTTGTGTGTTGTGTGCGGTGTGTGGTGTGTGGTGTGAGGTGTGTGGTGTGTTGTGTGTCGTGCGGTGTGGTGTGTGTGTGGTGTGGTGCGTGGTGTGTGGTGTGTAGTGTGTGGCGTGTGGTGTGTTGCGTGGTGTGTGTTGTGTGTTGTGTGTTGGGTGGTGTGTGATACGTGTTGTGTGTCGTTTGTTGTGTGTTTGTGTGTTTGTGGTTGTGTGCTTGTGTGTATGTGTGTTGTGTGTTGTGTGCTGTGTGTCCTGTGCTGTGTGTTATGTGTTATGTGTTGTGTGTTGTGTATTGTGTGGTGCGTGTGGTGTGTGGTACGTGATGCGTGGTGTGTGGTGTGTGTTGTGTGTTGTGTGTGGTGTGTGGTGTGTGGTGTGTTGTATGTTGTTTGTGTTGTGTGTAATGTGTGTTGTGTGCGTTGTGTGTTGTGTTGTGTGGTGTGTGCTGTGTGTTGTGCCTTTTGTGTTGTGTGTTGTGTGGTTTGTGCTGTGTGTTGTGCCTTTTGTGTTGTGTGTTGTGTGGTGTGTATTGCGTGTTGTGTGCTGTGTGTTGTGTGTTGTGCTGGGTATTAAGTGTTGAGTGTTGTGTGTTGTGTGTTTTGTGCGTGTTGTGTGTTTTGTGCGTGTTGGGTGTTGTGTGTTTTGTGCGTGTTGTGTGTTGTGTGGTGTGCGTGTGTGCACGCGTGCATGCGTGCGTGCGTGCGTGCGTGTGTGCGTGTGTGTGCGTGCGTGCGTGCGTCCGGGCGGGCGTGCGTGCGTGCGTGCGTGCGTGGGTGCGTGCGCGCGTGCGTGCGTGCGCAGTGGGTGCGTGCGCGTGGGTGTGGGCGTGGGTGTGTGTGTGTGTGCGTGTGTGTGTGTGTGTTTGTGGGCGTGCTTGCGTGCGTGCGTGCGTGCGTGCGTGCGCGTGTGCGTATGCGTGTGCGTGTATGTGTGTGTGTGTGTGTGTGTGTGTGTGTGCGTTTTTGCGTGTGCGTGCAAGGACACGGAGTGTGAAGGACACGGACCCCTTCACCCACTAGGGATTAAACCTCCCCCAACTGCTGGTGCCTCCTCCTAGGGCCAATCTTGGAGATGCGAGGAGCTCGCTCGGGAGGGTTGGAAGGACGGCGAGGAGGGAGGGGGAGGACGGACGAGGACGCGAGAAAGACAAGCGAAGAGGGGGAGAAGGGCGAGGCGAGCGAACCGTTGTGCCACCTGGAACCGCCCAGGCGGGACCAGGTGGTCCAGCTCACGAAAGCTCGGGCCTGTGAGCCAGAGGAGGCGGGGAGGGGAGCGCAGGACCAGCCTTCTGGCGTCCCGCGCTGGTCGCCGCGGCAGGAGGGGCCTCCTAGACCTCCTGCCGCGGTCCTCCCTCCCCCCATCCGGAGAGGAGTGCCGAGTGCACGCGCGGTCAGGCGTCTGGATCTAACACACCGAACCTAGATATGTGCAGAACCATCGCGCGCGCTTCGCGCGCGCTCAGGTTCAACCTCAGACCCGGGCAACGTCTGAATGCCGGATTGTGCTGCTGGACAGCAGGGTGGCATGATGCTCATGTGAGTGGCAGTCTGCTTTAGACAACCAGGGAACCGAAGGCCCCGAGCAACATCAGCCGCGGCATCACCAACACCATAAGCAATGGGGAAGACGCCCGAGACGACGGAGAATGAGGCCGAGGTGGGACCCGCCGAGTCAACCGGACGAGGAGGGATGACGAGAAAGAGTCCCAACGGCCCTCGCGGGCGTGAGGCGTCAAGGGAGCTCGTTCTGCGAACCCCCCCGTCCCTTTCGGGGCGGGGACCTTCCCTACCGCCTACCCCTACACCCTCCCCCTGGACGAGGGCGTTCGGCGGGCCGGTCGAGCGTCAAGGATGGCCCCAGAAGGTTCCAAGACGGCCCCCAGGAGCCCAAAGATGGGCCTCAAAGATCGTTCAAAGTGTGCCAAACTGGTTTCAAGATTTCTCCAACATGCCCCCCAAAAGCCTTCAATACCGCCCCCAGACGGCCCGCAGTGCCATCCCAGCACCCCAGGGAAACCTCCAAGAAATCAAACTCCTTCCGAAGCGTTCGAAACATTCTGATGTTTGCCTCCTCCCAGTGTCGATTCTGATCGTTTCTGAAGGCCAGAAGGCGACCCCAAGCTGGGCCCAAGTCGGCTCCCAAAGGGACCCAGCAGGAGCGAAATACAGCTCCGAGAGCAGAAGAGACCGCCTCAAGGGTGGCCTAAAAGCGGCCCAATAAGTGATTTGTCAGACCCCGATTGGGGCCCCCCCCCTGTCTGATCGATCGGCGGCAACGTTGCGAAACCTCGCCGTACCCACCCAACGCACGCGGCACCAACGAGCCGGCAACGGGCGTCAACGTAGCGAAGCCTCGCTGGACATTTCCAAGTCCGGGAACAACAAAATGTCCTAAGTGCAAGCGCTGTTCGGGGAATACCCACACACATCTGTTTCCATCTATATTTGCTAAAACACGTGTGTATGTACGTGTATACGAACAACAAGAGAGCCAGGTAGGCGAAGCCGTGGTCTCTGGATTCTGCTGGCCAGTGTGTGGCACCTGTGGAGGACGAGGAGATGGAAGAAGGTGGACCCAAACATCTGGCCCTTCGATTCTTTCGATACGTGGGCCCTCGGACCACTCGACCCCTTCTCCAGAGCCGGCTTTTCATCCCGAGCTGGTTTTTGACAATCCCGGGGCCCGAAACTGGCCTCTGGAGACCGAAGATGGCGGCAGGCTGGGCGCATCGATTTCTCGAGCCCCCAGATGTCGAGGAAGCCGCCCTCAATGCGGGCTCCCTGGGAGTCCCGATCTTCCCCCAGGGCTGGCTTTACACTCTGAGTGGTTTTTGTTGACGGTCCTGGGGCCCAGTCGGGGTCCCTCGAGGCCGAAGGCGGTGAAACGCGCCGAAGGCGAGCCTCTTCCCGGATGTAGAGGAGCAGGAGGAGGAGGAGCAGGAGGAGGAGCAGGAGGAGGAGAGACGAGGAGGAGGAACAGGAGGAGCAGGAGAAGGAGGAGCAGGAGGACAAACCGGAGCAGGAGGAGAAGGAGGATGAGGAACAGGAGGAGCAGGAGGAGGAGGAGGAGGAACCGGAGCAGGAGGAGGAGGAGGAAGAGGAGGAGGAGGAGGAGGAGGAGGAGGAGGAGAAGGAGGAGGAGGAGGGTGGAGGAGGAGGAGGAGGAGGAGGAGGAGCAGGAGGCGGGATGACGACGATGTCGAAATGGAACAGCGGCGGGATGGCGAGAAACGCCAGCTCGCCGTGCGGCTTGGACCGCAACCGAGAGCCGTCGGATTTCAGGCTCCGATGCCCCCCTGCCAGCCTGATGCAACTCCGCCCCCCTCCTCCTTCTCCCTTCCTCTCCCACTTCTGCCTCCCGCCATCCTTCCTCGTTCTCATCCCCCTTCTCGTTCTCAACCATCTTCTCATGGTTCCCCCCCTCCATCTCCTACTCCTCCTGTGGACTGTGGACTAAAAGGCGGTGGAGTCGTACCGCCGAGGCCCTCCATCTCCTCCATCTCCTCCTCCTCCTCCTCCTCCTGCCCCACCTCCTCCTTCTCCTCCTCCTCCTCAACCTCCTCCTCCTCCTCCTCCTCTTCCCCCTCCTCGTCCTCTTGGTCCTCCTCCTCCTCCTCCTCCTCCTCCTCCTCCTCCTCCTCCTCCTCCTCCGCCTGCCTCGTCCCCTCCTCCTCCTCCTCCTCCTCCTCCTCCTCCTCCTCCTCCCTCAGCCTCCTCTCTCCTCCTCCTCCTCCTCCTCCTCCTCCTCCCCCCTCTCTCCTCCTCTCCTCCTCCCTCTCCTCCTCCTCCTCCTGCCTCCTCCTACTCCTCCTCCTCCCTCCCTCCTCCTCCTCCTCCTCCCTCCTCCTCTCTCCTCCTCCTCCTCCTCCTCCTCCTCTCTCCTCTCCTCTCCCTCCTCCTCCTCCTCCCTCCTCTCCTCTTCCTCTCCTCCTCCTCCTCCTCTCCTCCTCCTCCTCCTCCTCCCTCCTCCCTCCTCCTCTCCTCCTCCTCCTCCTCCTCCTCCCTCCTCCTCCTCTCCCCTCCCCCTCCTCCCCCTCCTCCCCCTCCTCCCCCCGAAAGCAGCACCACCTCTGCAAGCCGGCCGCGGCGACGGGGCCTCGGGGAATCGCAGCTCCCACGTGCCAGCCCAATCCCGGTAGGCCCCGCACGGCGCCGGCGCACGTCGCGCGAACGGGATGTAGGGCCACAGGAAGCGGCCGGGGTCCTCCCGCGCAGGGGCGCGAGTTCGGAGGGTTGCCAACGGTGCCCCTGGCCCAAGGTGCTCCCAGCTTGTCGCTCGCTTTGGGAGCCCCTGGGGCCCTCCTGGCCTCGTGAGACGTGCTCTGGAGGCCGCGGTGGCCTCGATGGGAATCCTGGGGACAACGGCCGACGAGTGGAGGGAGGAGGTGCAGCGTGGCGGAGGAGGTGGAGGGAGGAGGAGAAAGGGGACGGGAGAGAAGACGGGGAAGGATGATGATGATGATGATGATGATGATGATGATGATGATGATGATGATGATGATGATGATGATGATGATGATGATGATGAGGAGGAGGAGGAGGAGGAGGAGGAGGAGGAGGAGGAGGAGGAGGAGGAGGAGGAGGAGGAGGAGGCGAGAAGGAGGAGGAGGAGGGAAAGGAGGAGGAGGAGGAGGAGGAGGAGGAGGAGGAGGAGGAAGGGGAAGGAGGGGGAGGAGGGGGAGGACGGGGACGAAGGGGAGGGAAGGAGGAGAAGGGCGGGGAGGAGAGAGGCGGGAAGGGCCAGGACGAGGGGAGGGGGAGGGGCACGAGGAGGAGGACCAGAGTAAGTCCAAGACGAGTCACCAAGTCTCCTCCGCACGAGTCTCCACAAGCATTCTAGCATTCTTTCTCACCGCGCGAGGCGCCCCCTGGAGCTCCGTTTGACAAGAAGCGACCCTCCACGAGTAGAGCTGTAAGGACTGCGACAAGGTGGGGGTCATAAAGCTCAAGGCGCCCTCCATCAGCTTCAGCCTCCAGACCTGGATGGCGACGATTTCTTCTCCTCGCTGGCACTGCGTCGAGGCAGCAAGTCCTGCCAGGGGAAGGATGGTTGGAATTTCGGGTCATCTTCAGTCAGGTGAGGTCCCAAGCGAGAGCCGCATTTTGAAAAAACGATTCGCCCTCCATAAGTGTGACCGTTGTCTTACTAACTCTGGTATCGCGGAACTGATTCCTGAGGATGCCCCGGGCGAGAGCCCCATGTTGCAACGGAGCCGGCCTTCATCCGTGTCACTGTCGGGAGTTGTGTCGGAGGAGGAGGAGGAGAAGGAGGAGGAGACGTGAGGATGAGGAGGAGAAGGAGGAGGAGGAGGACGAGGAGGAGGAGGAGGAGGAGGAGGAGGAGGACGAGGAGGAGGAGGAGGAGGAGGAGGAGGAGGAGGAGGAGGAGGAGGGGAGGACCAGGAGGAGGTGGATGACGAGGAGGAGGACGGACGAGTGTGGGCGGCTCCGTGGCGAGAGCCCCGCTCAGCATAGCCGCTTCGCCCCCGCTCGGTGCGGGGGGGCGCCACGGCGGGAGCCACCTCCTTGGAAGTGCGGCCCGCCCTCGCTGCGGGTGCAGCTGCTGGAGGGTCCGAGCTCCACGGTCGTGAACGTGCGACGAAGGTCTCGGGCGCAACGCCCGGACCGCCCGGACGGCCAAAGCCGGGGGGTGCGGCAGGGAGGAGCAGCTCGCTGTATAGGGAGGAGGAAGATGGGAGAGGCAGTGCGGCTCCCGGCTGGCTCACGTTCCACCCGCACGCCCTCGCTCCGGCATCTCCCTCGCGCATCGCTGACCCTCCGGGCCACGAGGTGTCCGAAGCTGCAGTGATACCGCATCGCGTCAAGACACCCTCCACCTCCTCCTCCAAACTCCCGTCCAGCTCCACCTCTTCCTCCACATCCTCCGTCAGTCGTCTTGCTTTCGATAGCCGAGCGCCCATGCCAGCACACGCGCCAACAGTGCTAGAGCCATAGTAAGCAGTAGCGACGCTCGACTGCGTCTCAGTTGGCAGAGCGGTCGCGCTACCACCCATGCTCCACGGCGGGCTCACGGTGCTCACTCCCCCCCGTGCAGACAATCACACAATCACATGCACGCACGCACAGAAACACAGACAGACAGAGAGGCGCACACGAACACACACACGCACACATACACACGCACACACACACACACACACGTACAAACATTTCACATACGAGCACAACCACAGCCACAAACACAAGCACAAACACAAACGCAAACACACGCACAAACAAACACAAGCACACACACACTTACAAAGACAAGGACGAAGACAAATACACGCACGCAAACCCACACACGCAAACATATACAACCACTTTTTGGCGGTAGCGGCCTCGCGCGCGGCGACGATGCGGAGACGGTAAAGAGTACGAAGCGCGAAGCCGCGGGCACACACAAAAATCCACAGACCCACAAACCCACATACCCACAAACATACAAACCCACAAACCCACAACCCCACAACCACACAACCACACAACCACACAAACCCACAAACACGCACACACAACACACGCAGACACACAGACACGCAAACGCACAAACAGATCAACGCACACAAACACACACACACATATGCACACAAACACACACACACACACGCACGCACGCACGCACGCACGCACGCACGCACGCACGCACGCACGCACGCACGCACGCACGCACGCACGCACGCACCACGCACGCACGCACGCACGCACGCACGCACGCACGCACGCACGCACGCACGCACGCACGCACGCACGCACGCACGCACGCACGCACGCACGCACGCACGCACGCACACACACAAACACACACACACGCAAACACGCACGCATGGACGCACGCACGCACGCACGCACGTACGCACGCGCACACAAGCACGCACACATACACACCGCACACATACACACGCACACACACACACACACAAAAACACACAAACACACACACACACACACACACACACACACACACAACACACACACACCACACGCAACACGCAGCGCGGTGCGACACTCTGCACACTTCTCGCTCCTGGGTGGGCTGACCCTCCGCGTGGCGCCGCGACGCACTTCTCCTCCCCAAAGAGGGGCCGCGCCTTCGCCCAGCGACCTGGGCGCCGGGAGCCCCGCTGGAGAAGCCACCGCCCGCACGCGGGCCGGGCTGATGGGCCTGTTTTCCACCACCACCACCACCATAAGTTGGAGGGGGAGGGGGTCCTCCTCCTCCTCCCCCTCCTCCTCCACCTCCTTCCCCCCTCCAACTTGTGGTGGTGGTGGAAAGCAAACCCATCACGGGCACCGAGCACCTGCTCCTCGGGCGCCCAGCCCGCGAGAGGCACTCATCGCCGAGCGCGTCGGCGACGCCGACGCCGAGCGCGCCGGGCGACGCCGAGCGCGCCGGGCGACGCCGACGCGAGGGCGCGCGCGTCAGCTCGGGCGCACCTCCGAGGACCCAGCGCGCAGCTGAGAGGGAGAGGGGGAGAGAGAGAGGGAGGAGGGTTCCTCGAGGGTCCTCTCCGCGTCGCGCGTCAACGCCCGCGTGCGCGTGCCCACCCGAAGCCCTGCAGGGCAGCGCGGGCGGTGTGGTGCAGAGAGGGCCGGCGCAGGCTGCGCGTGGTCGGTGGAGCCGAACGTGCAGGCAGGTTGCTGCCGCGCTGGCGCGCGCGGCGCTCTCCGCGGTGGCTCTCGGCGCTCTCGGCTGCCTGGGGGGGTCCAGAAGGAGGTCGCACTGCCCAGAAGGGGGGGAAGGTGGAGAGGTCAGGAAGGGAAAGGGGCGAGAGAGGGGAAACACGAGGGGGAGGGGGGGGGCGACACAATGAGAAGCAGGGGTGCTGTTTTTGCACACGTGTGAGGGACGACAGCCCCATCCGTGTCCAGCGGCACAACACCACCCCTCCCCAAAAATCGGCATCCGATCGAGCCTGATCGGCTGCTCGTGCCGCCTTGCGGGATTGAGCCTCTGCGCGAGCTTCCACTGCGCGCATGCCCAGAGTCTCCGCTTCAGCACGGCACTCGAAACCAAAAGCAAACATACTGGCATGGATACCGGGCACTGGGCACGGGCGCCGACGCGAAAAAGGAAGCAGCTTCCCGGGGACAGCTGACTCTCCCTCCGTGGCCACACGGCAATGCGCGCTCCACCGCGAACGTGTGGCGATCCAGGGGGACGCCGATCCCCCGTGGGTGACGTCCTGGTCGGTGGGGTGCACTCCGGCCTCCAATCTTTCCCGAGCCGTGTACGCCACACCTCCAGTGAGCTTCCGACGGCCCTTGCAGGGCTCGCAGCGGCCTCGTTGGCCAGGGTGGATTGCTTGCCGCCAGCAAACAAAACAGTCAAAAGGAGAGGAGGGCCGTCAGGCACACCTGCCTCCAATACCGAATGCTCCCAGACCCTCCAGGGCCGGCGCACTCCCAGGCATCCCTCCTCGTGCCCTCCAGCCTCCACCGACCTCGAGGACGCAGAAGCAGCAGCAGAGGGAGAGGGAGACCCCAACGGAGCGGGATCAATGAAGAGAAAGAGGAGACGGCGGAGGAGGATGGAGGAGGAGGAGGCGGAGGAGGAGGAGGAGGAGGAGAAGAAGGAGGAGGAGGACGAGGAGGAGGAGGAGAAGGAGGAGAAGTGGGGCCGTTTTTTTGTCGCTCTCTGGGGTAGGGGCGAAGAGCGGAAAACTGGCCCGCGCCTGAAACACATGCCAGTCGCGTGCCCGATTCCAGAAGCCCCTGAGTCCGGCTCTTAGCCGCCCCGATTCGCAACACGCAACACGCATAGTGAGACGGCGTTCAACACGTATCCTGAAAACGTGGGTCGGACGCGATACTTTCTCCAACACGTGGGCCAATACGTTAAGCCAACACGCAACGTATTGGCACGGACGTCTAGAATACGGTACGTGATGCGTATCAAAACGTGCGTATCGAGGCAGCTTAGGCGAGTCGGGCACTGTTGGCGTCTCGCTCTTTGCCGTGCGCTGGGCCTTCCGCTGGCGGCCCCGCCGCTACTCTCCGGGTTGGACGAAAGGGTCTGCTGGCAGAGGGTAGGGTAGAGAATCAGCTCACATAGCTGGCTTTCCTGGCGCCTCCCGGCGCTGGGAGGCGCCCATGTATCGAAGAATGGGCGCCGCGGCGGGGCGGAACTCAGCTGCCAGCAGATCTGGTAGCCCCCCTTGTCCTCTACAGCCGAAAGTGTGATCAAGAGACTTATCATCTCAGAAATCTTGGCCAGCTCCCCTGAAGCTTCTTGAAGCAAGCCTGGGCCAACCTCTATTCTGAACGCTGGAGGGGCGAACGTGCTCAAGAAACTGGGCCAGCTTCCCCGGAACAATCGCGGAGAAACGCTGGCCTGGCTCTTCGGGAATAGGCTTCTTTATGAGACGCTCGACCGTTGGAGGGGAGGAGGAGGAGAGGGGGGAAAAGGAGGAGGAGGAGGAGAGGGAGGAGGAGGAGGGAGGAGGAAGGAGGAGGAGGGGGGAGTGGGGAGGAGGGGCTGCAGGAGGAGGAGGAGGAGGGAGGAGGAGGAGGGGAGGAGGAGAATTTCTTTTACCCTGCCGTCCGGCCGGAGGAGGAGGGGGGAGGAGGAGGAGGAGGAGGAGGAGGAGAGGAGGAGAGGAGGAGGAGGAGGAGGAGGAGGAGGAGGAGGGGGAGGAGGAGGAGGAGGCTGGAGGAGGAGGAGGAGGAGGAGGAGGAGGAGGAGGAGGAGAATTCTTTTACCCTGCCGTCCGGCCGGAGGAGGAGGGGGAGAAGGAGGAGGAGGAGGAGGAGGAGGAGAGGAGGGAGGAGGGGGAGGAGGGGGAGGAGGAGGCTGGAGGAGAAGGAGGAGGAGGAGGATGAGGAGGAGAATTCTTTATCCTGCGTCCGGCCGGAGGAGGGGGAGGAGGAGGAGGAGGGAGGAGGAGGAGGATGAGGAGGAGGATGAGGGAGGAGGAAGGAGGAGAGGAGGAGGAGGAGGAAGGATTTTACCCTGCCGTCCGGCCCGGCGCTCATCTTCGGCCGGCCTCCCGCTGGCCTCCGCCGAGGGCGCGCTGCGCCGAGGGCGAGGCGGCCCTTCCTGGAGCGCGCTCCCGGCGGCGGCCGACGGCCGCTCGCGGGGCCCGCGCGGCGCCGAGCTTGGCTGGGAGCATGCGCGCCCCGAGGGAGGCGGGTCGGCCTTTCCCGGGAGGCGCCGCGGAGGCCCCCAGAGGATCGGCTCGCGCCGCCCCCGAGCCCGCTGCCGCAGGCACCCGCAGCGGCTGCAGACGCCGGGAGGGAGTCCTCGGGACACCCGCCGCGGCAGCATCCTCGAGACCACACTCTCTCTCTGTCTCTCTTTTTTTTTGTTCTCTCTCTCTCTCTCTCTCCCCGCTCTTTGTCCTCTGCACCCTCCCCGTGCCTCCCAGATGGGGTCCGAGTAAATGGGGTCGGAGGATCGCGCCGCATCGTCGAGGCATCGCCAGTCGCCAATGCATCGGCGATGCATCGGCATCGTCGACGATGCACCAGCGCTGTTGGCGCGAAGAAAATCGGACCCCACGTCGAGCCGATGCATCGGCGATGCGGCGCGATCCTCCGACCCCATCAGCTCCGACCCCACCTGGGAGGCCTACGTAGATTCCCCCAGGGGCCAGCCCCTCGCCGGGCGGGCAGCCCCCCGGGGGCCTCCCCGCAGAGAGCCCGGGGAGCCCGCAGATGGCGAAGGACCGCGGGGCCCATTCCCCTCGGGACCCGTCCCCTTCGTTGATTCACCAGGAAAGGGCACCTAACCCTTTCGGAGGGGACCTGAGTTTTAGGAGGCCCAGAAACATTTGGGATACTTAGGGGCTCTTTGCTGCAGACGCGTCGAACCAAGCCGCCCAGATCCATTGTCCCTCGTGCAAAGACGGGGACCTCAGTGAGCCACGCCTTCAGTAGGTTTTCAGGGTTAGGGTGAGGTCGGGCGGTCGGGCACGTCCCCCTACATGCGGATTCTGGACAAAGAACCCCAAAAAATACCCCCACAACTGCTCAAACAGTCACAAGATTATCAAACACACCGTCCCCGTATCATTTTCGACTATTTTTGAATGCTCCTCCTCTATAGAGGGACGAGCCCCACGGCCGCCGCGGGCGCCGCTGGCGCGGCCGGCGCAGACGCGCTGCAGGCCGCGGCGGCGTCAAGGTCAGCGGCGGCGGGCGCCCGGGGCCCGCCAGCGGCCGCGCGGGCATCGAACAGGGGCCGCCCGGGGCGGCAGGCTCGGACGTTCCGGTCCGTGGGCCCCCTCTCGTGGGCCCCATTCTCTTGGGGCCGTCGTGGGGCCCTCTCGTGGGCGTCTATGGGGGCACCGCTGGGGCCGCCTCCTGGGGCGCTCGGGGGCCGTCTCGTGGGGCCCTCGAGGTGGTCTCTCGGGCCGTGCTGGGGCGGTCTTGGGCGCCTCTTGGGCCGCCCTGGCCCCGTCGTGCTGCTGGCCGCGGATCCCAGCGCCGGCGGCAACTCCGGGGCCCCGTGGCGCCGTGAGCCAGGCCATGGCGGCAGGTTTGTCGCTTTTCGGCACCCAGGGGGGGGGAGATCCCCCCGCCCCCTCACCGAGGGAAAAAACAAAAACCAAGGAAACAACCCAACCGAGGAAACAGCCAAGCCAAGTAAGAAAACAAGCCGAGGACAAAAGCCAAACCAAGGAACAAGAACGAATCGAGGAACAAGAACAAACCGAAGAGCACTCACCAGGCCCCAGGGCCGTCAGAAGAACGGCCTGGGGGGAAGAACTGGTCCTCGGGGAGCGGGGTGCAGATCTCCAGGGGGGCCAGGTGATGAAGCATCACGGCGCCGGGGCTCCGGTAGCCCAAACGTGACGTCTTCCTCGCTCCCTTCCTCCTCCCCGTCCTCCTCCTGCTCCTCGCTGCCACCACCGTTACCACTGTGATTCTGACTCCCCCTCTTCTCTCCAGCACTCGGCTCCTGCTGCATAAACAGCGGCATCTCCATGGAATAGAACTCGTAGAACGCCATCTGCTCGACCTGGCCACCGATTTGGGGGTCCGCTTTGCTGGTGGAAATCCAGAGGGGAGATATCATGTTATGCTGGGCCAGGACGTGAAGGTCCAGGGCCCAGAGGCCAACGTAGATAATCAAAAACAAGGCAATAGGGACCCACACACAATCTGCACCCGCAAGCAAGACTGCACAAAGGTCCCCTGTGGTGATGCTCGGCTGTGGGCCACGGCCCTGAGAACCAGCAACCAAACATGTAGAAGTCGGGCGCGGCGCTGCAGAGATCGGACTACCCAGCCCGAAGGCTACGAGCCTTAATGTCGACCCCCTACGACCACCAGTGACCGCGTCCTTGGACCGCCTGAGCTGGCAGATGCCGTTTGGGCCGTCCTCCGAGCCATGGCATCATCCGCCCTTTCGAGTGACCAGGGTTCGGCGGTGCCATGCCTGCATTCCCCACAAGGCACTCGCCTCGCCCAGACAGCTCAGCCAACCCGAGGGGCGCCCACGGCGGCGGCGCAGGGTGCTGAGACCACCCCCTTGGGGGCCCGTCGAGGCCAGCTGGGAGCAAGTACCTCTGGGGGCGGGCGCAACCCCAGAAGCTCGCCATCGCTCGGACGCCCGTTCCCCGTGCCTGGGGGGGCTTCGCGCGTGCGTGCGCATGTCTCTCGCAGGGCGACGCGCGCTGCTCCCCGATGGTCCTCGCCGAGACATCGTGCACGCGTCCAGGCGATGCCAGGGGGTCACGGGAGCCTTGCCACGTTTTCCGTGCGCAGGCTGCAGGGCGCACGCGCCCGCGGCGTGAGTGGCTCGCGGCGCGCCGCACGCCGCGGGGGGTGCCGGGCTGCAGCAGCCTGGAGCTCGGCCAAGGGCCTCGCCATCGCTCGGACGTGTATTCCCCGTGCACGTGTCGGATTCGTGCGCTTACTTTGTGCACGATGGTCCAGGATGCTTCTCGATGGTCCCCGCCGAGAGAAAGCGCACGCGTCCGAGCTGTGCCAGGGAGCGGGAGCACCGGAGACGGCAAGAAGACAGACAGCCCCACCCCAACCCACCAAACTCAAGGTGACGCGCCACTCCCAACGTCCCCAATCCTCCGAGATGGAAGGCCTTGTCACTCCTCCTTCGGACGGGGCCAGGACGACGATAAATCCGTCCCACAGCGTTCCAGAACGCTCTCAGAGGGCGTTCCCGAGCGCTCTGAGAGGGCCGCGGCGCCCGATGCATCCTCCAGAGCCGCCGGATCTCAGAGATTCGCGGCCCGTCCCCACCCGACCACCCGATCTGATCCTCGTCCTGGCTTCGTCTTGCTCCTCCTCTTTAGCCCTCGCGAGGTCTCTGGAGGTCCCTGGAGGCTTCTGAAGTTCCGGCCCACCGCAAAGAACGGCGCTCCTGCTGCCCCCGCCTCCTTCTCCTGACCTCCGACGTCGCTACTTCTTTCGCCACGAGGAGCCCTGGAAGTCTGTTTCGTGAGTCGTGAGGAGGAGGATGAGGAGGAGTAGGAGGAGGAGGAGGAGGAGGAGGAGAGAAGGAGAAGGAGAAGGGTGATGATGATGATGATGATGATGATGATGATGATGATGATGATGATGATGATGATTATGATGATGATGATGATGATGATGATGATGATGATGGTGGTGATGATGATGCTGATGAGGAGGAGGAGGAGGAGGAGGAGGAGTCGTGAGGAAGAGGAGGAGAGGAAGGAGGAGAAGGAGGAGAAGGAGGAGAAGGAGGAGGAGGAGGAGGAGGAGCCCACGCGGAGGCGGCTCCTCATCCCGAGTCGTGCTTCGACGGTCCAGGGGCCCTGTGAGGGCCCCTGAGGGCCCCACGGGGAGCTGGACACTTTTCGGCATTGCCACGGCCATCCGTCTCGTTCTTGTCGCGACGCGGGGAGGCACGGTTCCTCCTCCCCTGACGACGCTGCAAAAAACAGTTGCGCCATCGAAAACAAATCACGACTGGAGCCCTGGACCCACTCACTCTGCGCCATTTTTCGAGCCGGGTCGATCTGCGAGGGCCCCGGGGCTCGAAACTGGGCGAGAACGCCGATGGCGAAGAAACTGCAACGCCAAGATCTGAGGGTCCGCCTGCCCTGAGGACGTCTCCAGGGTTGAACACCACTGCCCCGAAGCTGGCGAAGGTCGCGTACTCTCTGTCCGTGTCGGCCTCTGGCGGCGCGCACAAGGGGGTATGGGGGAGGGGGAGGGCTTCTTAGGATGCTGCTTCTTATATAGCAGGCGCCGGCCCTACCTCTACAGACAAGGCCCGCGCCTGCTGAACAGCAGAGGTGCTTCTAAGAAGCCCTCCCCAATCTGCGAGGCGGGGATTAATCCATATCCACCGCCTGGGAGCCAGCGTCCTGGTGTTCCAGCGGGCGGTGGATATGGATATGGATACGGGTATGGGCATGGATATGGACATGGATGTGTCTCTATATCTCTACAGTTGTATAAGTGTAAATAAATTTACGCACACGTACATACATACATACATACATACATACATACATACATACATACATACATACATACATACATACATGCATGCATGCATGCATGAATACATACATACGTACGTACGTACGTACGTACGTACGTACATACATACATACATACATACATACATACATACATACATACATACATATACACATATATACATACAAACAAACATACAATTATACAGACATACACGCATCTACATATACGTCTACACATACACATATGTATATAGATGGTCCCCCCAGCGGGGCAAGTATATATCTGCATTTGCAAAGGTCAGCGAAGGTCGGATGCCCCAGGCGGTGGCTATGGATGAGTCCCCGCCTCGGACCCTCCCCTGCATACGATCAGCAATCAAGGTGCCCCTAATGCTTTGGGAGGGGACCCAAGTCAGGAGGGCCAAAACCATCATCATCATCATCATCATCATCATCATCATCATCATCATCATCATCATTATCATCATCATCATCATCATCATCATCATCATCATCATCATCATCAGCATCAGCATCAGCATCAACATCACCATCATCATCGCCATCATCGTCATCATCATCACTATCATCATCATCATCACCATCATCATCATCAGCAGCATCAACATCATCATCATCATCGCCATCGTCATCACCACTCTCATCCTCATCCTCATCCTCATCCTCATCATCCTCATCACCATCATCTCATCATCATCATCATCAACATCAACATCAACATCAACATCATCATCATCATCATCATCATCATCATCATCATCATCATCATCGTCAGGAGGGTCAAGGCCATTAGGGACAAGGAGGTCTCTTTTGCAGATGCCACAGGACGAGATAATCCCCATGCTCAGGGACACCCCTTCAAACGCAGGACCTGGGCTAGGTCACGAAGTCAATTGTGCTACTAGGGTTCGGGCTTGCATTATGCTTAATTAGAGGCCTCGTAGATGGGGTCCGAATAATTAGATGGGGTCGCGTCGCATCGCCAATGTATCGCGACGCCGGCGTGGTCCCAACGTCGAGCCGCATCGTCGCTGCATCGACGATGCGGCGTGATCCTCCGACCCCATCCACTCGGACCCCATCTAGGAGGCCTAGATTTGAGCATTTTCTGAGGGTGGAGGGCTCAAGGTGAAATCCATATGGGCTTTTGCACCGAAAACAAGTCCGTCTTGTGATTCACCTCTTGCAGATTCAAGCCTCGAAAATCAATGGAAACGGCATTTCAGATTTCACCCTTTGCCATCAACCCAAACAACATGCTCGGTAGATGAATGCCCCCCCCAGGAAGGCCCATAATCGAATGGAAAAGCCGGATCGGCGATCAAAATGAATCGGACTTGCGGAAATCGCAGCCGAGTCGGAAAAATCGAATCGGCCGAAATCGGCAGGATGGTACGCCCCCAGTGAGAGGTCGGGGCCCACACCGGGATCCCGAGTCGACTCGAATCGGAATCGGCATCCATGGACATCGGATCGAATCGAATCGGGGGAATCGAAATGAACCCTCTGCGCGCGGGCGAGGCCTGGTGCACGAAGCCCGACGGCACCGCGCCCCCGCCGCTGTGCTCCGCTTCGGCCGCCTGCGAGGCCCTGAGGACCTTCGAGGGGGGGCGCGGGCCCCGCAGCGGCGAGGAGCCGCGGCGCGGCTATCCGCAGGTGGGGCGGCTGCCGCGCCCCCGCGCAGGCAGGGAGGAGGAGGAGGAGGAGGAGGAGGAGGAGGAGGAGG